TTCAGGGCCCCTTTGACGCATTTCGTTCGACAGGTGCCACGACGAAAACGAGCCCATTGGGCGATGTGTAGAGAGGCCTTAAACTGCTTCGAAAAAGGCCGGGATAGTGCAACCATCACCGCTAAAGACACGCAGGAACTTTCAAACAGCTCTAAAAATAGACAACTATGTCCATCTAGCAGAAAAAATATTATGCCTTTCCAGAGGCGTTGATCAAGCAAACAACAAATTTTTTTTGTGTGTGTGTGAATACAGGCCTTGTTCAGTGAACTTTTGTTAGCTAAGAGCGACTGTATCAAAATTTGTTTTATCAAATGCGAAGCATTTGTTTGCGTACTCCAGGCACATTGAGAATCTATCAGTATCATAAAATATTTTAATAAATGTTATCTATCTATCTATCTATCTATCTATCTATCTATCTATCTATCTATCTATCTATCTATCTATCTATCTATCTATCTATCTATCTATCTATCTATCTATCTATCTATCTATCTATCTATCTATCTATCTATCTATCTATCTATCTATCTATCTATCTATCTATCTATCTATCTATCTATCTATCTATCTATCTATCTATCTATCTATCTATCTATCTATCTATCTATCTATCTATCTATCTATCTATCTATCTATCTATCTATCTATCTATCTATCTATCTATCCAGGCGTTCCTACGTATGGGTGCTCTTGCGATCACACCCTTAACACTGAGTGAACCAAAACAGGTTTAGGAGAGTAAGATGGTTTGATGATTATGACTCGCTGGTGATGACATGAGTAATGTGATAATCCAGTCGCATACATTGTCAAACCATTTACCTTTCTGCAAGACGTATGGCTCATACCCGTGGGCGGCTGTGTGCTACTGGTGATTGACTCTACCCCTGGAGGTACGGCGAGAAGAGATATGGCTAATTTTATTGCGTGTGCGTTAAAAAAACTCACATAGGCAGCATTGGCTCGACAAATGCAAATAATAAATGTCAGGGTTCCAGCCGAAATCAAACCCCAGAATTTAGCGGGGCAATCAAGTGTTCTACCACAGAGCCACGCCAAGTCTCGGAATACTTTTCAATATTTGTCAAATAGACCCAATAGTGTTCGTGAAACGTCAATTGTGATTGCTGTGCTGCCTATCCAATTTTTTTAAACATTACAAGTGTACTGCTACAATACAGCTGTCACGTCGGGTTAACGTAAATTGTGGTTAGGTGCCATCCGCTAAAGTTGGTGTATGTAGCAGTGTCCAGGCCTACCATCGAGCACCAGCGTTTCATATCAGCTAACCATCTCTGGTGTTCCTGATATCCATGTTGCTGTTGGCATCGTTACGCAACTGTAAACAACTGGTTGTATAACAGCATATGGCAGCGCACACCAGGTTACACAGAGAACACGCAGACATAAAACATGATATAAAACTTATACAGCTGTTAAAAATATACCTGTGCGTGCATGTATGCACGTTTTTAGCACCACTTCGTGACGTTTCGCTCAATAAAAAAAATTTCAACACATACAGCCACCTTCCATCCTCATGCATCGCATAACATCGATTGCCAAGGCTCGTGGCATCTGCCGAATTGTTAAAATGTCTTTTTTGAAAAAACTTGTGTAATTTTTTCAATCTTTTATAACTGCCAGACAAGAGTACTATAGAGAACCAGCGCTAGAGTTTTCCCGGCCACCCTGGCGGTCAATGCACGCAGTTTTCAGCCGCTTCCGCAGATAAGAGTGGTGGCTGTGTGGGCGTAAATCGCCGTAAAAAAACGAAAGGAAACTGGTGGTACTGCTGCGTGTCCAAGTGGAACGATATGTAGAAAAAGGGTGGATTATCCATCTACGTTTTTCCTTCTTAATCAAATCAATAAAAGAGGAGGTGGTGTAGCATACAAGTGGTCAGGCGAGCATATATAGTATGTCCTGCTATTGCTCTCCTGTCTAGTATTGGGCTGGTTTCTAAACCGAATGGCGCGTGTCTGCCATATTTATTTGGTAGTGAAAACATCCGCCAGTGGAAGCCAGGGCTAGACAGTCGAACTTAAACGACGTTTTGGCGGAAATAAAACAAGCGCCTTGTGCAGCATACGGCAAATGTAATTTTTTTTACCTAGCCCGCTGAGCGTTGAGTAGTGCACCTCAGGACGAACTAACTCTGATAGATACATCTATCTAACCACCACCACTGACCTCAATCTGGTGCCACCACTTAAAATAAATGATACGATAGGCAGGCAGTCTACATTATTTGTATACAGTTATGTAGAAAAAAGCGTTGGAAAAACTCCTTTTCGCGCAAGCGTTGCATGGTCAGCGCCACGTGATAAACGCTATGGTCCTTAGCATTACTTATGTATGCCTTTTTTTAGTAAAAGACGCACATACAAAATATATGCGTGTTGTTATGATGCCTCAGAAATGCGCGATAATTGATTTTTAATTGACAATCGCACAAGTATGAACCCTGAATCTTGAGCAACATTGGTGGGCGCTGCGGATGGGGTCGGCCGTTTTGGGTATCGGCTGGGGCCGTTTAGTGTACCCGGTTCGCGTTAAGGGTGGACAAAGAGACAAATAGACAGACAGGCAGATCAAAAATTCTTGCGCTGAAGGTCCCCAAGAAAGACTATCATATTTAAAAAGCTGTCTTGTCTAGAAAAAAACTTGGGGGGGGGGGGGCACGTTTGGCTGCGCCTTCCAACTGTTATTAAAAATACTCTCGTAGTTGGTGACAAACAGACAGACAGACAGACAGACAGACAGACAGACAGGACAGACAGACAGACAGACAGACAGACAGATGAAAATTTTGGAGTCGAAGGTCCCCAAGAAAGACTATAGTATTTAAAATGCTGTCTTGTCTGCAAAAAAACTTGGGGGGGGGGGGGGGGGGCTCGTTTGCCTACGCCTCCGAACTGTTATAAAAGATACTCTCGCAGTGAATCCTCGATGGTGATATGCCTCTGTTTAAGTTAATTTCTCCTAAAGACAGGGTTCTAGTTACGAACAAAGCAGTGAACTACTCGAAGCTTAGCTTTTGTAGTCAGCGAATGCAGTAAGGTTCTTTTTCAGTGGCCGCCATGGCTAAGTAAAATCGGAATTTATGCCATTGCTAGAGAAATATCAAATCTCTTCGATTTTCACTGGTTGCTTAGATCTCCTAACCCACATTGTTTTTCCACTTGCCTGTGCCGGCTTAAACTATAGGTGTCTGTTGAACATCGATAATTGCTAGGCTTTCTTGTGTAAACAATAAAGAAGATATAATGTTGAGGCACGCGGTAGTGTGGGTATCAGGGTCCATTGTGACCACTTGGGGTTCTCTGGTGCCTGCATATATGTTGGTTCACAGGTGCTCTTGTATTTTGTCCCCTCGGAAGTGGGGCCACCGTGGTCGGGAATCTATCACTAGCTTTCAAGCATAGCAGCGCGACACCACACATGCTATGCTGCCCCAGTTTGTTCGATGAACGTCCCTGTGCATACCAGGCACAGGGCGTATACATATGATGCGAGAAAAATATTGACGCAGCTACATCTTCCTCTATTTTTGTATATTGTGTTTTACCATAGATGTGGGCAGCGTGGTATCGCCGCAGCACGGACTTTTCAATGGTGGCATGTCGGCTCGCACTAGCTCAACACAAAACCCAACAAGCAACCAGAAAATGAGGGCGAGGGAGTCACCATTACGGCACAGCTCTGTCCCTTCGATGCCATATACATATACCCTGTCCACTTGCGGGCTTCTCTCCGTTTTTTAGTGCTTTCTACGAGAGAGTAATCTTCGGACAAAGTTTTTTTTCTATAAACCACAGTGCACTATTGCTGCCGCAATGGATTTTCGAGCTGTTCATTCCAAAAGGAAGCATAGCAGCGGCGCACCCGCGCGCTTTGATCGCGGCACACTGCGGCCGGTCGTCTGGGCGGAAACGGCTGAGTTGGGTCGTAACTCTGCGCCAGGGGCTCTTTTTCGCCGCGCCACCTATATCCAGCGCTGGTCTTCCATAGCCAACTTCTCTCTGACTGGAGAATTAAAGCACTTCATTATTATCACTTATGGTGGGGTGTGCCCGACCCGGCCTGCAATTCCAACCGCCGGCCTGGCCGGACAGACTCGGTCGGGATTAATTTATTCACTCAAGCAAAATATTTGCCTTTACTCAGGCAAAACGTTTCAAAGTAAAGTCAAATGTGTAAAATTACCAATTTCTTAGAATCATGAACACACGATTTTCAGTATCTCGCTAGTACATTCATTTCATATCGGCTATATACGGGCCATTCAGCGAGATAAAAATGCTATTATCTTGGGCAATCGTGTAGAGTTTCGGCATGACTTTTTTGTTCCTTTATGTCCCACTTTCACATTAATTCCTTTGGTATAAACTTTTTTTACTGCCGGTGCATCTGAGCAGCCATCGCTGAAGTGATCGGCGGGTAGGCATCGCGTATTTCCTTTAGAAGAGGTAGTATACGACTATTCCGAAAGGTGTTTATTTCCGAATACTAACGCCAGCCTTAGTGCATACACATTGGTTATGTTTATCAAGTGAGAGACAAGTGGAAAATGCGCAACGTAAAAGTGGAAAAAACTTTCTTTTATTCGGAACAATCAGGCATAATAAATTTGTACGCATCACTATAAGGTGTGCAGGCACAGCAGTTTCATGACCTCGCGTGACAAGTGCGAAATAAGCATGTTCCGAAAAATATTTTCGTTGTGGTATACTTGTGAAAATGGAAGACAAATAGACTGTAATAGCTGTACAATACAACACCCTATAGATTTGCGCTCAAAATAATGCATCGTTTGTCATTACAGACTTTCCTGTGCCCGTGTGGTTTAGAAACACCACCTTCTGATGAAAAACTCGTGTTTTGTAAAGTGTGAACGATGGACTTTTTCTCACGATTTGATAGTTGAGTAATGGAAGGAACAAGTCTGCAGGCCGTCAATGTAGACACATCGCCTGTTGATTTTATTTCAGCAACAACGAAAGACGATAGAGCTACTGCAGGAGGAGCCTGTCTGTTACACCGACGTCGGTTGCTTTTCCCGGCGGGACCGCATGACCCATCCGATAGCTCTGCCCCAGGACCCACGAGACGTGGGCACGCAGTTCCACGTGTACAGCCGGCGCAACAACGACATTCCGACAGTGTTTATGGAAACAGGGCCGAAATCGATCGCTTCCTATGCTCATATATTCCGGGAACCGAGGAAACTGGTGGTCCTCATACACGGATTCACGCAGTCCGTAGGTTCTCGGTGGCTCCATTACACCAAGGAGGCTCTGCTCAAGAAGGTTAATATTTTTTTTTCATTGCGAGAGAATTCGAACGCTATTTCATTGCGTCTTAAGTGCAAGATGGCGAGACAGATCTGGTAACTTTTACGTTTTAGATTTTGCGTTGCTCCATACTGCGGCACCTAGAGGTTAACTTAAGAAGCGACGATAGTGTTTAATACAAACACTGTGATGAAGCACCGTTGCAGCACTTTCTCAAAGTGAGCCCAGATATTTTTTTTGCTGTTTTTGACTTGCTTTCGGATCGAACATGTAAGGCTAGCATTTCATATTCATTGTTGATTACCTTGCGAATAAGGCACTCAGCCCCGAGAATGCTACTCGCAGGAGGACGCCAACGTCATACTGGTCGACTGGGCTAACGGCTGTCGCGCCCCGCACTACTTTGCGGCGGTGGGCAACAGCGCACTCATCGGGCGCCAAGTGTCACTGGCACTGCAATCATTGGTGCACCAGTTTCCCGAAGCTGTGGATCCGGCCAACATACACGTAATCGGCTTTAGCCTAGGCGGCCAAGCGTGTGGCTTCTGCGGCCGCCACTTTCTCAACACGACCGGACGCAGTTTGGGCCGCATCACTGGTACCGTATAGCTCATGTTGCGCTTGATAAATAGTCTTCGAAACATGTGGTAACAAAAGTGTTTCGCATGATCAGTGTAAATGGCATGGTTTTTCATTATTCAATCATTAAGACCAGTTGATCTATAGTTGATAACGTAGACCTAGGGACATGCAGATGACATGCTAAAGGACATCGCGTTGCTGTAGAAATGTTATATTATCTTGGCTCAGTTTCTCAAAAAAGGACCTAAAGAGATAAATGTAGAGTACCGTCTTCAATTCAGTTGTACCATCTTTTATTATTCTGTTCTAGAGAAATGTAGAGTACCGGCTTGGAGAAGTTGTTTCAGGGTCAGATGTAGCGTGTGCAGGAGCATGCTTGGTCTAATAGACATGCTGACCTGCTTTTCATGAGTGGCAACGTTGAAAATGCATCTATCTATCTATCTATCTATCTATCTATCTATCTATCTATCTATCTATCTATCTATCTATCTATCTATCTATCTATCTATCTATCTATCTATCTATCTATCTATCTATCTATCTATCTATCTATCTATCTATCTATCTATCTATCTATCTATCTATCTATCTATCTATCTATCTATCTATCTATCTATCTATCTATCTATCTATCTATCTATCTATCTATCTATCTATCTATCTATCTATCTATCTATCTATCTATCTATCTATCTATCTATCTATCTATCTATCTATCTATCTATCTATCTATCTATCTGTCTGTCTGTCTGTCTGTCTGTCTGTCTGTCTGTCTGTCTGTCTGTCTGTCTGTCTTGGTTATGTCTTGGTTCGCAATACTCCCGTCCTGGCCTCAAACAGTAGAGAACTACCCCGAGTATTATCATAGATCCTTTCTTCGGCAATTTCCTGTTTAAAAGTTTGTTAGATCTCTAGTGCGGACTTCTTAAGCATGCTGATTCTCCACATATCGGTCTCAGCTTCCTTTGCCTTATTCTTAACCAATTATTATTTTTGGTTTGCCCCTGTTTGTTTTCTAAGTATTTACCAGTCTAATTTCTGGTTCGTTCCTCGATTTTGTATCGACTTTTTCATGTACAAGTAGCGGAATACCTTCATAGCCCAACGCTCCTTCCCCATTTCTCTCAACCGCTTCTCAAAGTTTATCTTGCTGTTATTTTCCCTGCCCTCAGATGATGTCCATCCCATATCACCTTGTACTCCCTGATTGGTGTATTCCCGTGAGCTCCTAAGGCAAGCCTACCTATTCACGTTGCTTAATTTCTAATCTTGCTTGAACTTCTGATCTCATGCACAACACCGCATTGCCGAACGTCAGACCAGGAACCATGACCCCTACTCCTCTCACAACCTCATACCTATTTGTAAATTCCACAGTGCCCGGTTTTCTTCACCACTGCATTCCTGTGCTGTTAGTCGTCTCGTATATTTGTGATTGCCCTAGGTACCTCGGCCCCACTGCTAGCCGTACGCCCAGATATTTGTATTTATCTGTTATCTTCAAGTATGACCTCCTGAATCTCGAAGCTTACTACCTTGCGTATCATTAAATCATGACTGCCAATTTTTCTTACTGAATCTGAAATCTAACCTATCTCCCTCATTACGCAGATGTCTATCAATCTCTGCGAATCTTCTTGTTGTCGGCGATTAGCACTATATCATCTGGGTACATCAATGCGGTAGTTCCTCTTCAATGAGTTTTCCTTGTTTGACGAACGATGGTTGAAGCCCACTCCACTTCCCTCTAATTTGGCTCTAATCCTTCTAGGTACATCTGAATGACAAGGTGACAGAGGCCAACCCTGCCTAAGCCCCCGTTTTACTTCCGTAGGCTTGGATACCTGTTTTTCCCACTTTATAACTACATTGTTACGTTTATAGATATCCTTTAAAAGATTAGTGACTCCATCTTCCACACTTGGTGTGTCCAGTATTCCCCATAAGTCCTCTTGAACCACGCTATCGTATGCTCCCTTGATATCCAAAAATGCTGGCCACAGGGGCCTGTGTTCCTTTTCTGTTATTTCGATGCACTGCGTCAGTGAGAACAGATTGTTTTCCAAGCTTCTGTGTTTCCGAAACCCATTCTGCAGTTCCCCCAGCACCCCCTCATCCTCTATCTATGCCTGCAGTCTTTCCTTTATAATCTGCATCGCCAGCCTGTAGACCACTGATATCACTGTTATAGAACGGTAGTGTTTTTATGTCAGCTTTGTCCCCCTTTCCTTTATAGATCATGCTCATTCTGCTAAGTTTCCATTCATCAGGGACTTCACCATCAATTATTTTTTTTGCTCACTTCCTCTCTCAAAGTCTGCTTAGACTTCGGACCCAATGTCTTTATCAGCATAATTGGAATGCCATATTGGCCTGTTGATGTACCACTAGGAACCCTATTCTCAGCCCTTTCCCGCTCTCGTTGTGAAAATGGAGCCATTTCTCCACTTGATTCATCCTTGTCTATTGTGTTGCATAATGCACTTCTTTGTTGACACTTTTCTGTCACCCTTGTTCTTATATATTCAATAGCTTCGTCCCCTTCTGGCCTAGCACCTTGAGCTGTAGTTATGAACCTGCGCTCTAAGCTCATCTCATTTCTTAGGGAGTTTAGATGGTTCCGAAATTTCGCAGCTGCCTTTCTATCTTTTTTATGTACTTCTGCCAGCCACTAAGCTCCCTTTCTTCTAATCTTTTCATTGTTCAGAATGGATGCATCCCTTCTACAGCTTAGAAAAATTTCCTATTTTCTTTCAACATCATCTGTCGGTTCACCCCGCTGCTTAGCATGTCTGGGTTCCCTAGAGGCTTCCTGACTTTTTGCTATGGCTCTCTTAACTTCCTCATCCCACAAATTCTTGGGTTTGTGTCTTCTTTTCCGGGGTGACTTTTCACGTGTCTTAACAAGTTCCAGCTCAAACAGTCTAATTAGATTCGTGTATGTCGACACTGTTTTATTATCCTCAGTGATTACTTTCTCAATTTGTTTAGTAGATAATTCTATTTGCCTTTCTGAATAACCTTTTTCCTATAGTTCTCATCTTGTCTCCTTCCCACTTTTACTGCTCTCCCAAAACTGAGCTTGATACGTTTGTGGTCGCTACCCAGACTTCTGGGGCTACCTTCATCTATGTGCATTCCCCTGAGCTTATCATACATCCTATGTGACATCAGTGCGTAGTCTGTCGTCGACTGCAGCCTTCCTACCCCTTCCTCTTGGGAGTATGCACTGCTCAGCTTACGCCGGCAGGAACAGCAGCAGCTGGTCCAGCGGGTTCGCAGGGTCGCGCAAAGCAATGGAGCCCTGGACTGAGGGCCCCACCCAAAGAAGGCTCAGTGTGCATTTGTTATTAATAAATGTTTATTCTCTCTCTATCTTTCTACCTCCCATGTTATTTCCCCTTCACTCTTCTCGGTACTGTTGCAAATGATCAAATCACGTCTTTCACACATATCCATGATCATTTTGCCGGTTGGATTGCTATACCCATCTATATCTTCTATGTGCGCATTCATATCTCCTAGTATATTTATCTCGAACTCTCCTCCTAACTCCTCAATGTCCTTTGATATACACGCTTCCATTGCCTGGTTTTCCTCTCTGGCCTTTGCTCCCGTCCACAAGTACACCAAACCAAGGAGTGTCATTTGCCCTGCCACTTTCCCTTTTAGCCTTAAATGTTCCTTGCACTCCGGCTTGACCCTTTGCCATTCTGTACTTTTATGAATGAATGCCCCAATATCAACCCCCCTTTCTGCTGCCTTTTGTGCTATTACAATATTCCCACACGTAGTCCAGATTGTTGGAGGTTGTTTCATGTCCATAAGATGTGTTTCTACAAGACTGTATACTATCGGCCTCTGCTCTCTTAACTGCTCTTCTATCTCTTCCCACTTCAGCCTGTTCCTGCCACCCTGCATGTTAATATACCCTGTGTGTGAATTGGCTCGGCGCTCGTGGCTACGTCTATTTCTGCCCCGGACTCTACCTATCTTAGATACTGGTGCCACTTTAGAATCGTATCTGTCCATAACCCCTGTCAAAGGGTCTCCCGGGTTGTTTCCCTCGTTACTAGCTGTCCTGCACCCCGAAGGGCCCGCGTGCCCCCCAAAAAATCTACTGCACGTCCTGCAAGTCACCAAGCCACCTCATGACCTAGCCGCTCATCGAAGTGAATTCAGTTTCGTTGAAAACCACCCCACCTATGCACCTTTCTGTTTATTTCCACCACCTCAAAGCCTTTCTCTCGACTTATCCGCCATATCTCTTGGTTTGCGTTGACAACCGCTCCTTGCAGGTTGCCGTGACGCACCGGTACCTCCGGTATCGTGCGTATCACTGCCTGTACCTGAGGAGAAGTGGCGCGCATCTCACCGACCCCTTTCGCCAGTGTGGTCGCTAGTCCTGCCGTATGTCCATTTAAGACATCGTTTAAACCGCCTGAAGTTATCACAAGGTTTCGTCTATCAGCTGTAGTTTTGAGTTTTGCGCTCGCTTGTCTCATGACTGCTTCAAGCTTGAGTCCTGGGAACGTCCCTACTGCAACCCTCTTGTCACCTCTTGCCCTCTCTTTGATTGCTTCTGCGCATCGATTTAAATTCGAGTCCGCAGCGATTATCACATGCTGTGACTTTTCAGCTGGAGCGTCCTGCACCTGGGGGTTACTTGCACCTGTGACGCCGGCTGCTTCGTCCCCTCCCAGCCCCAACACTACTTCGCCCCCGGTGCTCCCGCATAAAGCTTTCTCTAGCATTTGTGACGCGGTGGTAGAACACTCCAGGATTTCACGCAAACCATGGTATAAGACCACATAATCCCTGGCAATGGTGGAGAATAAACCAGTACATATGATTACAGTGAACGGAAATATCTCATTAGTTTCGAAATTATTGTGTGTGCGGCAGTAATATTTTGTTTGTTTGACGAATATGTTACGTGAAGGCTTCAAACAGTCATATTCATGTAACGCCTTCTGCTGGAGAAAGTGCAGTTCTGTCAAATCATTTAGATCA